TAATATTAAATTAATATTTAATATTTAATCTGATGGATGAGCCTGCAAATCACTGCACATTTTCTCAAATCAAGCTGTTACAATATTTAGCGGCGCCCCTGTAAAGATACCGCGGCTCCACGGAGCGCCTTGGCGCACAGTTTGGGAATCACTGGTACAGAGTCTTAGAAGCTAGCCTTTTAAAATGTATAATTACTAGAGTATACATAAAAAGGTCCGAAAAACCATAAGATAATAGAGAAATAAAAATTTAAAAATATTAGCTTTTTATATTGTTTTATCTACCTGTACATCAAATATGAAGAAAGTTTCTATATTAAACTCTCAAATAACGATATTTATATATTTCTAAAGATTCTCCTTTCATTAGCTTGGGTTTTACATAGTCATTATTTCAGACAAATTCTCAAAAATCGCATTTTAATCCAAGTTAAATTTAATTAAAATTTTATGAAATTTTTTACGCAAGCAGAGGTTATTTATAAATATAATTCACATTATGTTTTTTCAGTTAAATGCAATTAATGTAGGTGAGGACAACGTTACACTATCTACGTCAAGTATATTGAAACTTCGTGTACTCGATGTAAACGATAATGCACCACTATTCTTACCGCCATATATACCTTCAGAAACATCCTATCTAAATTTCAACGATGAATCACAAAAATTTCTGCCTACGACCCAAGAAAATAATACTCGCGAAAGTACGGTATCGGATGATTATAAGGTTAAATCAGACCAAATTTCAATAAACAAACAGTCAAATTTTGACAAAATTGAAAATGGCTTCATAACTTTGACAAAAGCGAATAAAGCATCCTTGTCTCCACGTAATAAGGATGAAGCTGGTCATAAATTTCCCAAACCTGAGCGCAACTGGCCTCGCGAACAGCATGCTGCAATTCATCCATTTGATAGAATGATTATGGTGTCAGAGGAAGTACAGCGTGGCGCACTGATTGCACGTATTTTGGCAAGCGACGCTGACACTGGAGATAATGCTCGACTTGCATTCGACATCATTAACTGCAACCCAGTAGAGCATCTAACTGAGCCATTACGAAATTATATGATAGAAGAAGGCATAGATACGGACAATGAATTACTTCTCTTTCAACAAACACGAGAAATGACAATGAAATTTAAGCCACTTCATATAAAGCAAGGAGTTGATGAATCCTTGAAGTGTTCAAAGGTCGTCAATCATCAAAATAATGAAGAAAAGGCGCATTGGCCTCCCTTTATCCTTGATAGAAAAGATGGAAGCTTGTGGATCTCAGGACCTGTAGATAAAGAGGCAATCGATTACTATAAGCTAGAAGTGACCGTGCACGATTTTGGTTCCCCAAAACGCCTGACAACTACGTAAGAATTATTCATATGCTAATAAAAAAATATAAAGTATATATCCGTAAATGTTGGCCATATTAAGTCAAGTTTGACTATACCAAGGGATAGCCTCTGAAATAAATCTTTTAATTATTAGGGAATTACTCTTTTGTACCATAAGCTTCACGTGTCAATTTTATCACTGCTTAATTGAAATGCTATTTTATACTTTAAATATATTGGCTATCAATTTTCTATTTTTATAATAAAATAGCAATCCATAGGACATAATACTTTATTAAATATAGTTATTTTATGTTATAAAATCAAAGCATTACAAGAAAAATTTTATAATAACGTTACATTAGCTTATTTGCAAGACATTTATCCAATTAAATAAATGCGAAGCTTATAGTTTACAAAAGTATATTGAAGTTACTCCTATTATTTTCAAATTTTTATTCAAAATGCTATTATATTTTGAATTTTATGGCCATGAAATAGCCAACCTGTTGATTTTTCAATTAATCACATATATATTTTATCTTTAATGTATACATTATATCTCAGATCAGATACACTCTTTTATCTTTTGTAGCAAACATTCTTAGGCAATTTTCAGATAATCTTACACCAGGAAAAATTATATATACTTGGCGTATTTATAGTCCCAAAACAATAGGCTTTCACAACTACTTTGTTAAACACGCTATTTTAATGAGAGAAATGCAATATCAAAACGAAAGTAAGCGATTCCAGGCCTCTTGAGATATCGTCATAATCCCATTAGTTATGTGATAATAAAGGATCCTTTCTATAACTCAGAGAATATTACCTTATTATTTTATTTTATATACTTAATAAATCTCCAAATTATCCTTTTATTTTGGGACAGAATATACGCAGTTCGGGTGACATTTGAAATAGCCCTGAAAGCAGTGGCACAGTGAATGTGATCAAATTATATCTGATAATGGCTCGTTTTCTTCATTGCAATATAAATTATCATTGTATAGAAAGATTCTCATGTTTTAACACAGTTAAATAGTATATTGAAAAATAGGTGAGGAAATTCAATTTTAGCCTCACAATATCAGATTTATGCTAGCTTCTTCGTATTCTCAGTTTAAATCTTGAGACTAGGAGGAAATTAACTAATTAAATTTATTTGAAATTATGCTAATTATTCCATAATGAGGTTTGAAATAAAAGAAATTATTAAGCAGTTGAATAAAGTGGTCTAGTAGAATTGATTATATATATCCAGTCAGGCTATAAAAACACATATTAGATTGAAAATTAGGAATTATTTATTAAAATTGTATAAATTATCCAAATACTCTAGTAAGTTAACAAAGCCGTAGAGAACTAGATAAAAAAGTTGTGATGGTCAGAAATACACATACTTTCACTTTTATTTGTGGGAAGTATGCTTGATGAACAACCGTAAAGCTTAAAAGATCTAGTTGCTCTTGATCTCTAAGGGTAATATAATAGACAAAGTAAACTACAAACGTGGGTTGACCTCGTTGTCGCAACTTGGTCTTGTTGTCAGGCAGACTTAGTAGAACGCACCAAGTCCGAAGTCGTCTGCCATAGGAGTTGTCATGATTCTCAGAACCATACAAGAGGCCACAACATCTTAGTTTTCATATCTCCAATTAAACTACGGTCGTAAAATTGTCAGACAATGCACTGAATACTGCCTGACAAAAAAGACAATTGTAAGTCAATCGTCCAATCTGACTTTTTAAACTGTTGTAAACGTTATGGTATTAATGAAGATGTGAAGACCAAGATGTTGTGGCCTCGGGTATGGTCGCAGTCTCCTTTCGACTTATAGAA